TCCCGATAGATTCAAGGTACAGCATTAGAGAGAGGAGTCAAGGATTTTTAAGTTCAAGGCCTTTGACCTGGGCAGCTGGAAGGAAGTATTTGGTTGAACCAAATGAAGCTGCCAATACTTAACTGTTCTTAACCTTTGAAAAAATGGCAACTTTATATATTTTAACTTAATAGCGGCCATTTACTGAGATGGGGAATGCTCTGTGAGGAAGAGGCGAGGAGGGTATCAGAAGTTTATTTTTGGACAGGCAATGTTCACTAGGCAGCTGCATTCACGTGTCTGGAGCCCAGGAGTGAGGCCCCAGTCAGAAATGTACTCTAGAGAGTCAGAGTATAGCTGGCAGTGAAAGGTCTGAGACTGGATGAGGTCACCTGGGGATAAATGTAGATAAAGAAGAACAGAGGCCTGGGGACTGAGCCTGGGTCTCTAGCATTTCCAGATCAGGGAGATGAGGAAGCAGCAAAGGAAACACAGGAAGTCACGACTGGAAAAACAAAGGTTCCAAACAGAGGTGCTGGCCCAGCTAAGAGCTCCCTAGATGTAGATGTGAATAATTTCCAACCTCACTCTCTCCTTGAGGCTTGGCATTAGGCAGTGTGTGTGTGTGTGTGTGTGTGTGTGTGTGTGACATGATAATATCTTATTCATGATAGAGAGTGCAACATCTCTTCTCCTATTTGATCCATTTCACAGATGAGTAAACTGAGACACAAAGGTTAGGCTATTTGCCCAAGATTCATCAATAACAGGTAGCAGACCTGGGACTAGAAGGGGTCAACTGTTTCTAAGTTCCATGCTGTCATTGAATCACACTTGTTTGGTGGGGTTTGGGGGTAGGTGTTTGCCCAGGGGAACTGCTACCAGAGGTAGTAACCAAAGAACCCCCTGGGAATGATAGTAGTGCAGGAGATGCAATCTTGCCGCTGCCAGCTGCTGCCTGAGCTCCCACTGACTGTTTCTGTAGGGGCACATTGTAACAGGGTTACATGGAGATGACTTGAAATGAGTTTTAAGCCTTTATTTCCTGGCAGCAAGGAAACTGCTGATATTACTGCCCTCTTGAGGGATCTGGACCTGTGATCTCAGATACCAAGAGCGCCAGATTAAAATGAACCTATTTCTCAACCGAAATGGTCAGACTGAATCGGGAGGCCTTATTTGGGGGACTTTCACATTTGACAGAGACAGTGATAAATTCACTTTAGTTTTAGAGCCGTTGGGTTAATAGGGAGCTTCAGAGACAGAGTGGCTTCTGGGCTGGGCTCTTCCACTCACTCCATCAAATGATGAATTTCATCTTACTTTCTCTTAGCATCTTGCTCAAATCATAATATTGTCTGGGAACTTATTTTCTTGCCTTTGAGAAGCTGCTCCTGAGATCGGAGGCTCCACTGGTCAAGCTTGGCCCTGCCCTTGGGAGAGATAAACAGGCCTGAATACATTTCCAGATTGCAACACTTGCGAGTCAGGCAGGGCTGGACAGCTGTTCCCTAGCAGCACCCCTGGTTGTCCCTGATAAGGAAGAACACGGCTCATTCCAGCGTACTGCCGTGTGTGCACATATATAAACAGACACTCCCAGGCCCCGGTGTTGTTTTAGAGTAAATTATTGACATTCTGAATGGCTGAAACATTGAGGGGAAAGGTGAACACAAACTCACTCTGCTCAAGAGAAACTCCAGGTTTGTAAGCCAAAAATAAATCAACCAACACTATCATCTGGCAGCACTGTGGAGCCACCTTCTGAACCTACCTGGTCAAGGCTCTGAAGCTCTGGAAAGAGGAGGGAAGGGTTGCAGTGGAGGAAGGGGGAGGAAGTCAGAATAGGGAAGGTGGACTGATGAAGGAGCAGATGGCAAAATGCCCAGAGAGAAAGGTGTATTGTAAAAATGTGAACAAACCTTCACCACAAAGATTGACACTATGACATCTTAAAAACAAAAACAAACAAACAAAAAAAGTGAACACTCTTCTTAAATGACAGTGTGTAAGGAGTGGGGCAAATGGGAGATTGACAATAATAACACCACCACATAACATTATTACACCTTGTAATCAACACTTCATGTAACCTTTAGGAAAACCAATTTACAGTTTACAAGAGGCTTTCACATTCATCTCTTCCATTTACTCCATCAACCCACTCAAGTGGGTAGGGCATTTTAAGTCACATTTTACAGATGAGAAAACTGAGGCTCAGGGAGGATATAAGCAATTAACTGAGGCATAATTAAGAGGTGGGGAGGGGCTTGTTTGTCCTAAGTAATTCAGAGCTAAGATACTTACTAGGAAGGGTGATTCCTTTTCAATGACTGCTCAGAGGCTAAATTGCCATTGCATTCCTAAGTAGAGCAGCTCCCCCTTCTCCAGTGCTGTCCAGTGCTGTCTAACTAAACACTCCTCTGATGATTTTTGCCTGATACTTAGATCACAGCAGCATAACATCTGTGAAGATTAATGTGCCAGGGAAAATGTCTAGATCCACCCTATACCCTTCATTCTCAAATGCCCCATCCTTGACCAGTTCTTTCTGTTTTGGAAAAAAATACCTTGGGTCCTGTAAGCGTGCTACCTCGCTCTCAGGTGGGGCGGAAACATCCTTATTTGTATAGGATATTATGGAAGCACAGGACCCACCTAGAGGGGTCAGGTAGGTGTTTTTGAAAGTGCCTATTGGAATCTTCCAGCAGTGGTTCTCAAACTTTGGCCTGCATCAGAATCACCTGGGGAGCTTGTTAGAGACCTGGATGTCCAAGCCCGACCCCAGACCTTCTGAATCAGAATCCCCAGGGGGTGGGGCCTGGACATTCATGAGCTTAACAAGCTCCCCAGGTGATTCTGGGGAGTACACCAAAGCTTGGGAATCATGGGAGTGGGAGGTACTCAGGTGCAGGAGAGTAGGGAGCAGCAACAGGAGCCTGGAGAGTCCAGAGGAGACACAGTCAGGAACAACCCTCTGCTCTGCCCTTATCTCTATTTCCCTTTAACAAAGTGTCAAGTAAAGAGGGTTAGAAATCTCTTCCTTCAGACACATCCTCCTAACAGAATTGCTATGTGCAGAAGGAAAGAGCAACATACCCCCTTTAGAAGCAGTTAAAATAGACCACATTTTTCAGAAAGAATAGAGGTTACCAAGGGCTGGGGAGAGTGAGGAATGAGTGAGGAATTATTATTTAATGGGTACAGAGTTTCTGTTTGGGATGATGAGAAAGTTCTGGAAATGGATGGTAGTGATGGTTGTAGAACATTGTGAATGCATTTAATACCACTGAACTGTAAACTTTAAAATGGTTAAAATGGAAACTTTTGTGTTATGTATACACTTACCCCCCACACATGCACACAGCACACAGAATAGCTGGTCTTTTGAGGGATGGAATGATGGGAGCAAACAACATTCAATTTTATAGCAATTTTACAATCAAACAATGTTGATTGCTGCTGCCCCAGGTGCGTGTGTGTGTGGGTATGTGTGTGTGGTAGGTCACATAAGGGGATCCAACTCATAAAATACAAGTGTATATTCATGGGAACAAGGGAATAGATAAAAATTCTGAAAATAGATGGCAGTGAAAATATGATATAAATACAGAAGCTGCCTAGAACACTCTTTCCTGCCCCCTTTGCCTGGTTTACTCCTGGGTTTCATATCATTTCTTTTGGAGTGCCTTGTAGAGCAGTGTCTCTCAGACTTCACTGCACAAAGGAATCACCTGGGGACCTTGTTAAACTGCAAATTGTAATTCAGGAGATCTGAGACAAAGCTCTAGACTGCATTTGTAACAGGTGATGCTGACACTAGATCTAGACCACATTGGGAGGGCTGTGTAAATTTAAAGTCTTAGCTCATCAAGATAGTCTCATGTCCAGCAGAGTGATGACCACTCATTAGGTGCTCAATAAATATTTACTGAGTGAATGATGGAGTATATATGGTTGATATAGGAGTTTGGAGGGCAGAGCAATGTTTGTCCTGAACAACAGCATATTTGAGATATTTCTGCTTTTATCAGTCATTCACTTTGTGAAATCACCTCATACTCTGTAGAGTAAGGATGTTAGTCGTAAATTATTTCTGGCCTTATCACCTTGCAGCTTCAACTCTAATCCTCGAAAAAGTGACCCTACACGCATGGAGGGTAATGAACCCTGATTTGCAAGCTCTGAGGAGGCCTTGCTACAGTCTACAATCGCTGCAAACAAATTCTCTCCATCCAAGGAGGACGCAGGGAACCTGCTGCTGTAGGAATTTCCAGATTTTGGTGCTTGTCTTGGTTAATTGCCACCTTGGCCTCCTCAAATCAAGTAAACAGACATTTTAACAGTGTATGTGGGAAGGAGGGTCATCACCCTAAAACACATGAATGTAATATTGCCATGATTTAACCATTATCATTTATGATGATGATGTTAACGACACTGGCAGTTGAGCGAGTTAGTGTGTAGGGGAGTTGGGGGAGGGGGCAGAGGGCTGTGAGGGCAGGAGAAAGAGGGACTACAACTCCCAGAATCCCCCGAGAAAGTCCACGCCGCGGCGGCGGCGCCCCACCCCTTTCGCTGGCTGGGCCCGCCCCACCGGTGACGTCACAGAGGTGACGTCACGGCGCCCAGAGCGAGGCTAGGGTAGAGAGGCCGACTGAGCAGGAGTCGTCCGCTTGTCGTGGAGGCTGCTAGGGAGCCGGCGAGAGGGAGAGCGGGCGAGCAGGCGAACGAGCTAGAGCAGGCAGGGGGGAGCGTCGCACGGCGCAGAGGAGCGCCGGGGCCGGGCCGAGGCAGAAC